GATACAGGAGTAGAGGCAGCTAGCCCCGTGGTTTCCCACCCTTTGAGGCTCAGAAAGCTGACCACTAGCCACCAGAGTCCAGCAGTAGCTCCATCACGCTCTTCTGTTATTCACAGACACCTATACATGCCACTGACAGTCTAGTTCATGACCTTTTGTCTTTAGACTGGCTCTGACTTTTAAAAGTTCGCTGACCACCATCAATTTGAGTATAATGCTTCTCAAATCACAGCAGAGAGAAATTATTAGCAAATTAATCAAGCGTTGGATGTTAAGCTCTTTGGGGGTGGTAGGGGGTGGGGAGGAGGAAGATCAGAAGGAAACATAAAGGAACACAAAATGTCCCAAGAGGCCCAGGTAAAGTCAAGTGGAAGAGCACCAGACTGGCTAGCCTGAGAGGGTTTCTGCCCGCCCCCCCAACACATGGCAAAGCTGATCCCAATGACACTTTTGTTTGTGACACCTGGCACCCCAACAAAATGTGTCTGGTACACAGTACACCCCAATCGAGTGTGTGTGATCCTTGCAACCAAATGGGCAAGCACAGTAACCAAGTGTGGACCAGAGATAGTACAGTAGGTAAGGCCTTGCACGCAGCTGACCCAGGGGGATTACTAAACCCAGGGGCTAGAGTAAATGCTTGCACTGCTGGGTGTGGCCCCCAAGCAAAAACAAATCAACCACCAAATGTGCAAGCCCTTGGAAGAACAACCACAACATAAAACTCCCAGCAAGCCCAGCTTTTTAAAAGTGTCTGCAATCCTGCGGGTATGGTGCTGCCCAGGTCAACCATATCTGTGGAGCAAGTGCATCAACAGCTGGGTGGTGCCTTCAGGCTTTCTGATACCCCAAATTTGCCACTATGCCTCTGGCTGGACCGCAACAGCTTGGGACCAAGTTTACCAAGGGATTAAAGGCCATACGTTAGGTATAGGAGAGTCAGAACCACAGACCTCCTCTGGCTCAGCTGTACAAGCTCATTTATCGGCCTTGCTTCAGAGACTGGCTGGAGGATAGCAGTGGGTAGGGCGTTTGCCTTGCACACAGCCAACCAGAGTTCGATTCCTCTGCCCCTCTTGGAGAGCCCAACAGACTACCGAGAGTTTCTTGCCCTCACGGCATAGCCTGGCAAGCTACCTGTGACGTATTCAATATTCCAAAAACAGTAACAACAAGTCTTGCAATGGAGACGTTACTGGGCCGCTAGAGCGAAATGATGAACAATGGGAGGACAGTGCTACAGTCCTGTAGATAAATCTCGAAAGAGACCAAACTAAGGCCATTTAAGCGCATTAACAGAGGTCTCCCCACTCTGCACCAGATTGATTCTACTAGAGGGGGACAGGTGGGACCCTCCGCCTGCCCCAAATGAACCCTGGCATTACAAACCAGAACACAACTGCTGCCATAATCATGGCCAACCTTTTCAGCCTCCCGCCGTCCCCCCCACCCCCCCATGCATGAGAATGAATATGCTGAAAAACCCAGGTATGCAGAACTAGTGACTAAAAACTTCAGGCCTCAGGGAGTCAGGGATGGGCAACCTCCTGGTATCTCCCCACCCTTCCGGTTTCCTGGCAGTCACATCCACGGACTGCCTCCAGCACCATTTAAACACATTGACAACCACGATTCAGACACTCACAAATGAATCTTGGAAGAGAGCAGGAAGCCACAGAGATGCCTTTGGACACCAAATATTTAAAAGGTAAAGGTAAAGGCCCTCCCGTTGATCGTCGATTTGCTCGAGCGGGCCCAGTAACGTCTCCATTGGAGACTTTGTTGTTACTGTGTTTGGCATATCGAATACTCTCGGTAGCTTGCTGGGCTCTCCATGTAAACTATTATTGTGAATAACTTTATGAAAATAAACTTTTAAAAAGATTGTTCTGGTCAAAGGCAAAGGCTTTCCTTTTATGCTATTTAGCAATGTTTGGAGAGGTTCTTGAAGGTTTGCCGTTTTTTTTAACTCTCCTGTAGAGGGAAAAAAGAGTGTCTGCAAACACTGGTGCTGGGAAATGTATACTGGATGGGTGTTGGAACACATATGACTGAAACCTAATCATGAACAGCTTTGTGTCTATCTCACAGTGATTCAATAAAAACATTAAAAATAAAAAATTAATAAAAGTGTAAAGTGTGTGAAAGCTCTCCAAACACTGTAGCAACAAAGGGAAAGGAACAGAGAGATATCTGAGACCTTAAATAAAGCACCTAACAGGCTTTTAAAACAAGATCTGATTAAAAGGAAACAACCTAGCCCAAATAAATGAGAATGGGAAGAATACAGAGAAGGCAATTGGGGCAAGGGATGTGTATTTTTTCTGATTTTGAGTGAGGGAGAACATGAAAACTCATTCATCCATACCTCAGTTCCATAAAGTCCATTATTTAGAGTTATGCAGTTAGCTAGTGATCGTGCTGGGACAAAAGGACAAGTTGTGTCATAATCACATCCTGGAAGCACCATGATCTCCTCTGCAGACCCCACTGCATGGCTCAGCAGAAGGGATCAACATCCAGAACCAAGGGTAAGAAAATCAGGAAGGCAGGGGGTCTAGGTGCCAAAATCCAATCTGAACCACCAAGTTCCGGCCCAGGAGCTATGCTCAAACTTGGGGCTAGACTAGAGACAGGCAGGCACCAAATGTGAGAATCAAAGATGAAATTTAGATCTAAATAGCCTGACAAAATGACTTTTTATTCACTCAAAGAGTGATGTGGCTTGGCCTCTGTCAGACGCAAAACACTGATAAAACGCTTGCCTTTCAAAAGGTTTCTTAGGCCTACTCAATAAAGTACAAAAAACACCCACTGGTGTACAGGCATACCCATTAACTACTAGTCACCTTGAAGATTGAAGATCCTGGTACTGTGTTCCGATTTATCAGAGATTGACAAAAATCACCAACTTGCATATCCACAAATCTCCAGTGAAGTTAACAGTAGTTGAAAATTCTAACTTCACACCATGACCAAGACCCCCAATAAATCTATTTTCCTACCTCCTTGGTCCTCCCAACTTACCCAAGTGAATCCCATCCCCACCACTGTCAAGGTTAAAGCAGTGAAAACTCCTTACTTCCCTATTTATTCAGTTTTGACATTTATCTTCAATTGCATCTTCACAAATGAATCCTGGAAGAGAGCAGCACTTAACCCTGATAAGTCTCTCCTTCTTCAGACCTTTCCACTCGACCCTGCTTACTAATCCTTTCCCAGCTTTAGCACTCAACAACTTCCTATAATCGGTCCCTATAAAACCGCCAACACTGCACTCAACATGGAAACCTTCAATGTATATATGGGAAATGACCACTTGATGGTCTTTTGTGCACTGAAACTCAAACATGAAAGTTTTGTAACTGTATCTCATGGTGATTCAATAAAAAAAAAGAAAAGAAAAATATATAAATAGTAAAATGGGCTGGAGCGATAGCACAGTGGGTAGGGCATTTCCCTTGCACATGGCCAACCTGGCTGACCGGAGTTCAATTCCTCTGCCCCTCTCGGAGAGCCCGGCAAGCTACCAAGAGTATCTCACCCGCATGGCAAAGCCTGGCAAGCTACCCATGATGTATTCAATATGCCAAACACAGTAACAAGTCTTACAATGTTACTGGGCCCCAATCAAGCTAACTGATGAACAATGGGAGGACAGTGCTACAGAGCTAAATAGTAAAAATTATCAGGATGGAGAGAGAGTAGTTATTTGTTAGAATGTACTTATTTAAAGATTTAGAAAGAGAGAAGCAGGGCCTGAGAAATAACAAACTGGAAAGCAAACACAATGATTCCACCATTACTCCCAACAAGTTTATGGGTACATGTGCCTTAAGAAAAAATATCACTAGTTTCATTTAATGCAGAGTGGCCTCTTTCATTAGACGGGAACATAGAGACTGAGTCAGAAAACTAAGTCCCAAATGCTAGCATCTCTCACTAAAACTACTCCAGGCAGGGGCTGGAGCAATAGCACAGTGGGTAAGGCGTTTGCTTTGCACGCAGCTGACCCGGGTTTGATTCCCAGCATCCCATCTGGTCCCCCGAGCACTTCCAGGAGTAATTCCGAGTGCATGAGCCAGGAGTAACCTCTGTGCATCACTGGGTGTGACCCAAAAAAGAAAAAAAAAAAACTACTCCAGGCAAAGAAAAGAACAAGACAGACTGCAGGAGTTGGATGTCACTAAGATGTACTGGAAGTAATAGAGAATGACATCTTGGGGACGTCTGAGAAACTGGGAGTAGGGTGTTGACAGAAATAGTAATTTCTATTTGGCATGTCATCACTACTATGGCCAGATGCTCCTACTTCAGCAGCAACTAAGACCACAAGCCACTTGCATGCCTGCTGTGGAGAGAGGAACATACTCTGTCAACTGCTTGCAGTAATCTGCTTGGAGTCTACACCCTAAATTGGAAAACAGAATTACTTCTAGAGCTTGTTCTGAATGACAGAAAGTCCCTGTATGAAAGTACTTGACATGATTCAAAGCAACATGTCCATCCATTAGCTCTTTATCTGAGCACACACAGACCTAGGATCAAACAGTAGTACCATCACCTAAGACTGCAGCACATGCAGTAGGCGGAATTCTCAGATGACTGCCAAGATTCCCATTCTCTGGCTATTCAACTAGAGTATTTCCATTCCCTGGCTAACCTGAGTTCACTGTGACCTACTGGCCTTAATTTAAGATGATCCAAATTACACCACTGTGATCTAATTCATTTAAAAGCAACATTCACCAACTGGAACCTCAAGAGGAAGTCAGATTCAAGCATGAGAAGGATTCAATACTGGTTTGTAGAGAGAACAACACCATAAAAAATGTGGTAGACAGACTCTGTAAGTTGAGTGTTACCCACAACAGCCAGCCAGCAATAAAACAGGTATGCCAGCCCCATATCCTGGCCCAGAATGCTCAGTGTTTTCTCCTGGCATCCATAAGACAGTAATAACCTAACTTATTAGCTTGCAAATTGATGGAATTCCACACTTTGACAGTTTTACTTAGACCTTTAATTTGGTATTTTTTTTACATTATCAATTTCAAAGAAATAAAAACATACTTGTTTTGAATATTCTTGCGCAGATAATATCCACATTACTTGACTATTATAAGACTAAAAAAGTTAAAAATGTATGGCACAATTAAGACATAAAAACATCCAACAATTTCAGTCAAACCAGTCTCCCCAGGCCACGTCCCTCCCACATATACATAAAATGAAACCAAAAGGGAAATCATCTACTAGATAACATTCCAATCAGAAGACAGAGACAGGAGAAGTCTGATATCTGTCAATTTCTGACAACTGAATGCACTGCACTCATCAAGGAACTTTAGTCATAATCTCATTTAGTCCCTAAATGGAACCTATGGCTAAATCATGTCGGTCCTTACAGAGTGAACAGTAACAGACTCTACAGCTCTGAAAAACAGTCACATGACATAGTCCAGTGATACGAGCTGAGGAAGCAAAGCTGAAAAGTAGTATGAGGTTGCTCTTGTTGTCTATGTCCTGAAGGTCTATTCTTCATCCATTAAGCCATGGGAATGCTCACCAAGACTGGGCCTCCAGAGGAATGTCAACGTCACTAGAAACAGCTGGAAACCACATGATATAGAGATGTCTTTTATTAGGACATAATGACTTTTTTTTCTAAACGGAAAAATGAGAAGGTCTTAATAGAAGAGGCCATCCTATCTTGGATGGAACTGGATTTCGACCCTTTTGGTGTCCTTGGCAGTTTCTGCTTGTTTGTAGGTGTTGGGGCCATAGTTTGTGACAGTATCACTTGAGGGTCTTGCTAAGGTTGGAGAAGCCAATGCCAACACAAGTCATCAGTACTTTATCCCCACCCTTGAGTTCTTCACCACAGGGCTTGGTTTCAATTTTAAACATAATCTGGAAAAAGCTCTTCAAATGCCGCAAAAATTCTATCCTAAAACAAAACAAACAGAAGGGGGGGGACAATGAAAAAGTAATTCAATATGTGAAAAACCTATCTTTCCCCACCGAGAACCCAAAGCCCTTAATTTCCTAGATCCAGAAAAATAACAAAAATTAAGAACTTCTCATCAAAGCTGATTGAACAGTATCTATTTATAGCCTAGGGCTGGAGCGATAGCACAGCGGGTAGGGCGTTTGCCTTGCACGCAGCCAACATGGCCGAACTGAGTTCGATTCCTCTGCCCCTCTCGGAGAGCCCGGCAAGCTACCGAGAGTATTTGATATGCCACACACAGTAACAACAAAGTCTCCAATGGAGACGTTACTGGGCCCACTCGAGCAAATCGATGATCAACGGGAGGGCCTTTACCTTTTTATTTATAGCCTGTCAATTTCCAAAGCAAATTTACATAACTTGTAGAGATGCACACAATATAACATAAAATAATTTGTATATGGTCTAAAGTTAGTATACAAGATATGCAGTTATTTATTTCTATATAGCTAAGAGACATGATGTACACATATATACACACACACAATATTCATATATACACACACCCATAGAGATCTATTTACACATATATGGCTCACACAAATATGTACTCTCACAATTCACAGCATCACAAGGTAAACCCAAAAATTACTGCTGCTATACCAAAATATTTAAATCTCCATTTCTAAATTTCAGCACTCTATTATTTGCTCAACTGAGTGTTTGTTAACTAAGAATTTCTTGTGAAGTTTTCAATCCAGTGGGTCAGACAAAATACGTTGATTTTTTAAGTACTATGGAAATTTGGGGCAGGAGAGATAGTACAGCCAGTAGGGCACTTACCTTGCTCACCACTGGCACCCCACATGCACACCCTCCCAGCCCACTGGGATTAAGTCCTGAGAAAAGCTGAGTGCAGCCCAAAAAACAAACAAAAACAAAAAAGTACAATGGAAGTTTAAATAAATAAAGCATACGAAGAGAAAATATAGATATAGTATTAGAGTATATACAAAGGAAGCAGTGCTAGATAAGGTGGTCAGGGAGGAGCTCACAGTAATTATGGCAATAATTATGTTCCAAAGAGCTGTTTCCTATCACCTTTCTTAAGACAGAATGAAGTTTATTACCCTAAAAGTACCCCAGAAACAGCAATAGGCATAAAGTTTTTACTAGTCTGATTTAGCAAAGTCAGCATCAACTCAGCTAGCATGACTCAGCTGGAGTGTTTATTAAACACATAAGTTCCTCAAAATCCTCTTCAACTGGTGATTAATGGTAGAAGGGTCTATACAGAGAGAGCCCAGAACCAGACGTCAAATGTAAAGATAGCCATTTCCCAGTTTGTGAAACAATGGTGTAGTCAGAGAACAGTCAGCCTGCCTCTCTGTATGAAATACCCCAGGAGACTGTTTCGTTAACTAAGAATTGTTAACTAATCATTCAAACTCCCTGGCTCAGCCAGATGGTTCTCAACCCTAAACGCACAGAGACCTGAAAGGTATTCGAAATACTGGTGCAAATGGATGGAACAGAATTCACAATCAAGAATAAACCCACGCACCCTCCTTCACTGCTGGTGGGAATGCCGGCTGGTCCAACCCTTTAGGAAAACAGTAAGGACGACTCTCAAAAAATTAGAATTTGATCTGCCATTTGACCCAGCTATAGCACTCCTGGGAATATATCCCAGAGAGGCAAAAATGTGTAGTCGAAGTGACATCTGCACTTGTTTGTTCATTGCAGCACTCTTTACAATAGCCAGAATCTGGAAAAAACCTGAGTGCCCAAGAACAGATGACTGGTTAAAGAAACTTTGGTACATTTACACAATGGAGTACTATGTAGCTGTTAGAAAAGATGAAGTTATGAAATTTACATACAAGTGGTACTACATGGAAAGTATCATGTTAAGCGAAATGAGTCAGAAAGAGCGGGATAGACACAGAAAGATTGCATTCATCTGGGGAACATAAAGCAACAAAAAGGGAGACTAACACCCAGGAATGGCTGAGATTAGTACCAGGAATTTTGCTCCATGAATGGAAGGCCAGCCACATGTGCTATGGGAAAAGGAAGCTCAGATAGAGAAGGGAGCACCAAATAAAGGGTGTTGTGAGGATCCTCCCAGGGTGGGAGAAGCATGCTGAAAGTAGTCTATAGACCAAACATGATTGCCACTCAAAGCCTCTCTTGCAAAACACAGTACCCAAAAGAAGAGAGAGAGAACAAGGGGGAATACCCTGACACAGAGGCAGGATGGGACGGGGTGGGGGGGGGGGATGAGAGGTGGAGGGGGATGCTGGGACCCGTGGTGATGGATGACGGGCACTGGTGGAGGGATGGGCACTTGATCATTGTATAACTGAAACCCAAGCACAAAATTTGTAAGCCTATAACTGTACCTCATGATGTTTCACTAAAAAAAAAAAAAAAAAAAGAATAAACCCACGCACTAATTAAGGTTTATAAATATCAATTTTGAAAATTCATTTTTTAAGTACCAAGATAATCCAACAGGGAAATAATCTTTTCAACAAATGGTACTTTTCAACTTCACATGCGTAGATATCCACATGCCAAAAAATTAAACTGAACTCTTTTCTCACATATGCAAAATTAACACAAATGGATCAGAGATCTACGTATGGAAGTCAAAATGAAACTCACTGAAGAAAACACAGAAAATAATCTTCATGATATTACAGATAACACCAAAAGCAAAATGATTTTAAAAACAAAAATGGGGACTGAGAGTGGGTACAATGGGTACAGAGCTTTCCTTGCACATGGCAGATCCAGGTTCAATCTCTGAACCACATATGCTCCCTCAAGCCCTACCAGGAGTAATCGCTAAGCACAGGGTCAGAAGTAAGCTCCAAACACTACTTGGCTAGCCAAAAACAAACAAACAAAAAAACACAGATAAATTGAGCTATCCGTTACAATTACTCTTCTGCTAATGACAAAATCAATTAGAGGAGAGAATTTTTTGTGTGTGTATCAGAAGATACTCTACAAAGAAGATGGAAAAACAACCCCAAGCTTACATGAAAATATTTGCAAATCGTGTATCTAAAATAGGTCTGGTATCTACTATCTTATGTATTTAAACACCTCTTACAACTCAAGTTTTTTTATTTATTTTTTTGCTTTTTGGTTCACACCCAGCGATGCACGGGGTTACTCCTGGCTCTGCACTCAGGAATCACTCCTGGCGGTGCTCAGGGGACCATATGAGATGCTGGGAATCAAACCCGGGTCAGCCGCGTGCAAGGCAGACGCCCTACCCGCTGTGCTATTGCTCCAGCCCCACAACTCAAGTTTTAAAACTCCACTGAGGGTCAGACAGAATAGCCCAGTGCCTGCCCTGCAAGCGTAGAGCCATGCATCCAAATCCCTGCTAAGCACGACACATGATCCTGGCAGCTCTCTTGTCTGCCACCCCTCGTTCCATAAATCATTTCCACTGTCCCACTGCTATATCTATTCAAGCACCACGGGGAAAAGAGAATAAGGGGGTGCCAAAACTGGTGAATACTACCCTGGTGACCGATCACATCTGTAAATACTACAGTGACCCCTGGCAAGTACACCAGTTGTTTGCCTCAAGAAAGAATGTAACTCAAAACAAAAGCACATGTGCTAGCTCTGTCCCAAATGTGGCTGAGGATGCAAAAACTGTGGTTAGTGTAACAACAACAAAGAGAAGAGGAGAAGGAACAAAAATAAGTATCAGTTTAAAAGTAAATTTGAAAATGGAAAAAGTTAAAAAAATGAATTAAGATTTAAAAGGGAAAAAAACTTTAAAAATAATTTCTAAAAATAAAGTTATGGAAATGAAAATATGGAAAGGATCTGAAAAAAAGCCCTTTTCCAAAAGAGATATATAGAGTCAATATGCATGTGATAAATGTTCGACATCATTAGTCAGTCACTTAGGGAAACAAAAGTAAAAACCACGGAACTACCACCGCACACTCAAGACAGATAAAAGTAAAAGTATGGGTGAGAATGTGAGAAATTGGAGTCCTCCTCCATTACTCATGGGAATGTAAAATGGCTTGGCCACTGGGGAAAAGTCTAGCTGTTACTCAAAATATATAACAAGGAATTACCAAATAGCCCAGTAATTCCATTCTCAGGTCTATATATAAGAGATATGAAAACAACCACATGTAAACTTACATATGAATGATTGCAATAGCTTTATTTATTTGTAATAGTCAAAAGTGGAGGAAACAATTTAAATGCCCAAAGGAATAAACAAAATGTGGTATGATTTAATGTTACTCTACAATATGTTATTTAGCCATTAAAAGGAAATTATTAACACATTATATGGATAAACCTTGACAATAACATACTTAGGAGAAGAAGGCAGTCACAAAGGCCCTCACAGTGTATGAGTCTATTTATACCAAATGGCCAGAACATGCATAGATGCTAGATTAGAGGTATGAAGTAGATACTAGCTGCCCGGGCTTGGCTGAGGAGACTGGGAGGAACAAAAACCAAAGGGTTTCTTTGCTAAGTGGTAATAATGTTCTAAAATAAAACTGGCTACGGTTATGGTTATAAACCACTGTTAATAACTAAAAACCACTGAATTGTAGGCTTCAAATGGATGAAGTATGGTATATGAATTATATCATAATAAAGCTGCTTAAGTTTTACATATATGCGCAAATGGACACTCATGGATACACACCACACAAGTCTAATTTTAGAAAAAGTACTGATCTCAGCTCACACCCTCATATAACGTATTCCAAACTTAGTATATAATTCAACAGTAAAGAACAGGTATTTCCCTGCTGGCTTTCCTACTTCAATTGAAATTCTTAGCGTTTTTATTCTGGCTCAGCTTCAAATCCTTCCTACCCTGTCCAAGAGGTTAAGAAAGCAAACAGACTGTTTTCCGAACCGCAATGGGGCCGCCCCAGCTCCCAGGCAACCTCTGCTTCCGGAAGTCACACCCACAACCCGCCCACGGC